GATCGCATCATACGGCTTTCAGTTACCACGATGGGGGAAGGTCAAACAGTGTTTGATCACATGGAAAGATAACGAAAGGCTAAGTTTACATATCCAGCCGCTGTTATGGGCCACACTAAGCCACTTTGAAGGTTTAAAAAACTATTACAAGAAAAACAAACAAATGACAACCTCTCTAGCCTGGCTTATAATAGATGCAGCAGGATTTATGCACGTTCTGCAACCAACCATTAGAGGAGAAAAAAAAAAAAAAGTCAAAAGGCAGGGATAACAGGAAAGTTACCAAATTTTTTAATTTCCGAATGTAATTTGAATGATGATTGTGGTAATAGTGACACATTCAAGCTTCTACAATAAACTTCAGTCTACCTCAGTTTAAGAAAAAAAAAAAAAAATGTGGCAACACATGGTGCATAAAGACTGCTGTGTGTGTGTGTGCGCGCGTGCGCCTGTATGTGTGTGGTCGACAGAGCCATGCTATTACCTCTGAACCTTTTTTTGTGATGTTTTTTGTGCATGAGATGATCAGAATCACCATGCTGCACTGATTTGAGGGGCACAACGAGCAAAAACATTTGTTTCATCATTTTGTTATCTACCTCTTAGGTTCATGTTGAAATAGAGGCATTACTACATAGACTAGATAATTTTCCCAAAGATCATTGTTGTACAGATTAGATAATTTTGAAAATGGTCTGAAGTGTTTTTCCTGCATCTCTTCTTTACTAATTGGTTTAAAAACCACAAACTTATGTTGTAGTTTTAGCAAAGAAAAATGAGTTTCTTTTCCTTTTTTGACAATGACCTTCATCTAGCCTTTAGGATAACTTTTTTCTTACAATGAATTTAAAATTACTGAAGTATGAGAAGTCATAGCATTTTAATTCTTTTTGAGGCTTAAGTCAGTCTGACTTTCCCTTCTTAACATTTGAGAAAGATTTGACTTCATTATTTTCCATAAAATTTACTTTACAAATAGGCACTGCATTTACAGCTGCTGATTCAAATACTGTCATCTCTTAAATTTCTAGACTTACTATGGTAAATCATGTTTTTCTTTTCAATTGAGACTTGGTAATTTGGAGTATTTGGGAATAGCTAGAAAGTAAATACTGTAAATGATTTCAATATCCACTAAGAATGGATCATTTTTCATCTGTAATGTGCCCCCCAATGCAGCTCCACTTGCCAGATGCCTCTGAATGGAATAAAGAGTTTAACTCCTATCATCAGATAAAGTTGTGTGGTCTTTTTTTAAATTAATGAGGCATAGGGACAGACTGTTCTAAGTATCCGTGGTACTTCGATCAAGTTGGTTTCCTGTCCATAATAATAACAACTGGATAAGGATGAAGATTCACCCACAGGTATCCCGTAGCTGCCAGGGAATTCAGCAGCCAGGTTTACAATGTTTGTGCTTCCCGAGACTAGCAGTGACTTCTGTGGCTTGTAATTCTTCACCTTCTCCCTCTCCCACAACAATACCGTACAACCTGTAGTTCATGGCTTAAGTCTTATGCAGATTACCTAGGCTGATTTGCTGTGGAAGGGACGTGTACTCAACAGTCCTGACCCAGGGCAAACATGAAAGAATCTTTAACAAGTTTCTAGTCAGATCTGAATTGTTGTTAATAATTTTTTTTTTTTTCTGTTTTCCCCCCATTCTTTAATTCTATGTTCTTGGTACGATGGAGCTGTGTAATGAACGTGGCCCTAGAAGATTGGATAGGCAGAACCAGTCACACAAGCACGCAACTGTGACCACAACTTGTGTCACACTCCTACCACCAGCCCCAAACACACACCACTTGCCAGTGAGGTGGGTACCACCTCACCATTTATATCCTTGTTAACATGATGTGGAGCAGAAATGAGACTAGATGCTTAACTGAATGCTTCAGAGAGGGAGGGGCTGGGGAATGAAGGAGCATCATGAATAATGTACTTCTGTGTCTCTTACAGAGAAGTGGAAAACAGAACTTGTTTTTCAAGCTCTTGAACCTTCCTTGCTTGTCTTCACAGCTCATTTACTGGGACCAACCAGCAGAAAGAAAGAATTGGAGAAGTGTGATGTCTGTAGAAGACACTGTGTAGGGTATTTCATAGGCTGCTCTGAGCTCGTTTTTTCCATGCTAGTATTGAGCTATTTTCTCAGAACCAGTGTCCCTGCCATTTGAGCAACACAAGAAGTTAAGCCTTCCTCTGTATCGCTGGTGCATTTGTGACAGCTAAACCCCTGGTTTGAGCATTTGCTTCATCATGATGCTTTTATTTGCTTCTAACCTTCCAAAGCTTTTATGCCTAAGCTGCAATTTCAAAGGCATGCGCTCTCTGTAGTAGTTTCTGCTAAATGAAGCATGTATGCTGTGCAGCACAGCATGGGCTCGACATGGGACTAGGGCACAGGATTTTTAAATGAACATGAAAAATTGTGGAGTAAGTTCCTGAGCTGGGCTGTAACAGGGATGGTAACGTTAGCTCAAGCGAGGGATGCAAACGCTGCTTGACAATGAATACTCAAATGTGATGCAGGCAATTGGTGAAATGAAGACAAAAGTTCCACCTTGGTAGTTCTTTCTCCTACTCATCTCATCAGGGGACCCTGCACAGAGCATGTACCTCTGTACAGGAGGACTGAATGATGAATAATCTGTGGACTCACTGGACAAGATGCTCAGTATTTTTATTTTCCATAGAAATCACCTGATCCAACTGAAACTGTTCCCAAATGTTTTCCTTCTAAAAGGGGTTTCATGTTGCACAGTACTGATCATGCAGCCTGGCTTTGTTGATTTCTGGGTCCCAGCTTTTAACAGGCTCAGGCCAAGGGCTTACCAGGTCGGGCAGGTAACCTGGATGGGACATGGAAGGGGCTCGGGACATGTTGTGACTGCTTCTGTGAAATGGGGGATGAGGAAGTTCTCTTTGTGAGCTGGCAGTTCTAATTATTTAATAGCAACCAGTAGATGTTCCATACAACTCCTTTTCACAATGTGCTTTGGCAGTAAATTCAGCTGTACTTTTTCATTTATTTTGGTTTTGTCTTCTCGGTTCATTTGGTTTTTTTGGTTGTTTTTTGGTTTTGTCTTGTCTTAGAGACTATTACGCCTTTCCAGCTGTAAGTCTGTTCACATGGAAGCTGTTCTCCATCTCTTACTGTTCTTTTCTGGGCACTCCTTTTGCTACTGTGCTTATTGAGACGGGATACTGTATGCGGTTCTAGTTACTAGATGTGGGTTCATACAATGGCATCATGCTTGCTGAACCTGCCACTACTCATCTACTCTCACCTGCCTCCAGCAGGAGGCTGTAAAAGGCAAATGCTTTCAGGGAATGATAGGAAGTTACTCCTATGTATCCCTCCTAGGAGTAAATGCCTGATTTAGAACCTACCAGCTCAAGACAGCCATTGTTACCTTCCCCCATGTGAAGTACTTATTGACAAGTAGTGTGAAGCATTATGAGAGTCCTTCGTTGCCATCAGACTATCAATACCTTTACTTCATCAGCAAACATGTTTTATCTGCATAGTTCAACTACATTTAATAAACGTTCCTTGCTTAATTGGCAGAACTACCTGTTGCCCTCCTATCAAAAGAGCTGGTGAACTCAGGGGCAGTTATTCCTGAAAGGACAGAGGATAGATACAGAAAGAAAACATGACCGGTCTGAATTGATGGAGAAGGGTGTTGGGTTGTGTGCTTTTGGTTTTTTTTCCACTAACAAAAAGCCCCACAAACACACTCCCTTCCCCCTAAATGACACAACCACAGCCACAAAACCCAAGGTTACTTTGTTTAAGGAGTACAAACAGTGGGTGCTGTGCAGTGAAAAGATGCAGACAGGGCTTGAAAAGCAGTTTGTGGGGCTACAGGAGGAAAAGGTGATTGCCCTCAGAATTTACTGTTCATGCTTCCTGATGCATGGCAGAGCAAGCTTCTCCAGAAGGAAGAGATTCTAAGCTAGTGATGAAAGCCCTGTCCTGCAGTGGAGGAAAACATCTTGGTTTATACAGACAAGTTCTGTTACCATCTTGAAGCTCTTCTAAGTGGTTATTAGACCATGCAGTAGTCAGACAAGAACACACTGCACAATGACTTTCGAAAGTGCTGAACAGTCCATTAGCACCAAGCAATGCTCAGTGACCAAGAGCTTCCTTTAGGACTGCTTTTGCCCACTTCAAAGGAGCTGGAGGTTTATACCACCATAGCATGTTGTCTCACTGTCTTTTTTCCAGAAACTAGGTGAGAAGAAAACTAGGAGAGATGTCAGCTGCACATCTGAATGTTTCAACAAGAAGATGAGGAATTGAAGCTCTTCAAATTTTGGCTTTCTTTTATTATTATGCAATTATTAAAACCATATTGGGCCTGCCTCAAAAATGGACTTACTGTTCTGTTAACTTGAGACACATCTATTTGTCACTGCTTGTCTTGGCTTTTATGGGCTCAGTAACAACAGCCTGTTTTCTGTCGTCCAACTTCAGAGCATGACTGACTTCATCTAAACTGTACTATTTCACACATGTTTTTTTCTTTGCAGCACTCAGACCTTTTTTGCACTGCCACCACAGGCAGGTCTTTCAAAGATACCAGAAATACCATTACTGTAGAAGCTGAGCCTAAGTTTCAGGGTAGGTAGCTTAAGTGGCTCACTTTGCCCCACTCTTCTCACTGGAAACTTTAATGAGACAGTAACTCTACCAGGGGGGAAAAAAAAAAAAAAAAAAAAAAAGAAAAAAACAACCAAAACCAAACACCAAACCAAGAAAACAATAAGATTCTTTCCTTGGTGTTTTATGGTTGGACTCAATCTTAAAGGTATTTTCCAACCTTAATGATTCTGATAAGTTCTGTAGCTTGTCAGAACTTTACCTAGGCACATCCAATAAATACACTGGTTTGTACTGGTCAGCTGTAGAGACTGGTAAGTCAGTAACCAAGCCTGTACATCTCAGGCCTGTGAAGCATACTCGTTTCCCTTTCCACTCAGCAGCTGCATTAAGTTCTTGTCTCAAGATGATCACTGCTGGTAGGCATCAGTCCAAATGTAAAGTCTTCTGGCAGCGACTCTGAAGTCATCTGTGCTAACTGGTCATCATAGGAACCAAGTGTCCACAGCTTCTCCAGTTCATAAGCCTCTCGTGTCTCTGGCAGCATGAAGTGTATCACTATGCTACCTGCACAGAACAGAGTCACAATAAATTGACATGAACTGTAAAGCACAACTGCACCTCCAGCTGCACAGAGGTCAAGTCTTCCACCCCCATTCCAGCTACATCTAACCAGACAGCTGCCAGAGGTCTCATCTTAAATTGGCAATCCCAGTTCTTGAAGAGTGTTTGGAACTGGTCAGTCCTTTAAAAGACTCCCAAGACTACAGCCAAGAGAATGAGAGGGACAATATTCAGGTTTAAATTAAAACAGTTGTGCAAGGCTCCAGACCAAAGAAGTTATGACTTCTAGGGGATAGAAGGGAGTAGGACAAAAGCAATTTTACTTGAAGAGTCCCCTTCCTAAGATTACAGGTGGACTTCCAGCTTTCCTATATCACTAACAACACTCAGCTATAGCCAAATAATTTTCCTTAGGTGCATAGCTCACACTTCTCAGGTAGTTTTTATAATGAAGCAGGTCCAAATTTTTGATATAAGGTTTTTCTTTCAGGTTTTCATTAATTATGTGCCAGACAGTAGTTAGGAATGTTAATTCCAGTGTACTTCTAGTGCACTTTTTTCTAGTTATGTCCTTAAATTTCAATTGCTCTTCAGATATAACTATCAAAATCTTTGACAGTAAAGTAATCAAGGCTTAACATCACCGGCTGCAGTGCTCCTCACCCACCCATGCTCCCTTGTAAATCAAACCACAAAGTTAGAGGGTGAGATTCTAGAGCCAGCAGTGAAGGAGGAATGCTTTCTGAATGCAAGTCTTTTGTTTCATACTTGCAAAGAGGAGAATTAAACTCAATTTCTTAAGACTCAGGTTTAACTGTGTGTCATGGTATGGTCTGGGCAGTGGAAAAGTCTGTTCAACAGTTCACTGCTAGGGCAGCATAAACAGAGAGCCCCACTCACCCACACAGGGATTATATAAACCTGAGAAAGTTGACTGAAGTAGTTTTTCAACTACTGTTATCTTCACTTTACTAAGACCTGTTTTAACCACTGAAGAGTAATTACTGTTTTCTTCTCAGTGTTGATGATCTTTAGTGAAAATTTACTTAGTATCCCAATGAGCTGAAGCAACAACAGCTGGAATTCCAAACAGTGGACTGTTGTGAACTCTCCACAGCAACCATGGTTCACAGTGAGATGCTTCCTTCAAAGAGTTCATGCAGAACTTTGTATTTTTCAGATTCACAAATATTTACCAAAATCAATGCACAGCCAGTCATCTGTCTCTTTTCCTTCAATCCGAGTATGAGGATCACTTTCTTCTTTGTGATGCTTGTACTGAGAGAAGAAGCAATGGCAGAAAATTAAATACTTCACATTTATTTAAAAGCAATACTTAGCAGATAAACTGGACTTTGTCAAGTTGTCTAGAGTCATTTTACACCTCAAACGGGTTAGATTACTTCATGTTTGCTCTAGGGTCTGCACAAAAAAAAAAAAAAAAAATAGACACTTGTACCACTGGAAAATAAGTACAGCTTCCTCAATGGGATTTAGTATCAAACTTGGAATCCTAATGTTCAGAGTTCCCACACAGTTATCCATGAATTTTACAGGTATCTGCTTTTTTCCTCAAGATGAACAGTGAATACAATTGCTTAGCATTAATGTAGTCTTTCAGTTATCAGCTCCCTGTAGCTGCCATTACCACTAAGCGGCTCTCATGGGTGCCAGTTTGAGAGGCTCAGCTCTCCCCTCCTCATACATAAAGAGCCTAAGCACCCAGCAGAGCTGAAGAAATGGGATAACTAGAGGCTTAAGCACTGGCACTTTCAGATCTGGTCATAATTTACTTGTTTCGAGAAGCATCAATTAAAAAAAAAAAAAAGGCAGTGAAGTCAACTGCATCTTCACAGACCTCCTTTATAAAACTCCTACTTTATTTCTAGTTGAAGCAGTCAATCAAAAAAATATGGAAACCCTTTTTAAGTTGAGATTAAAGAACAAACCAAAGCCAGTTTCTTTCAACACAAGGCCAAAAGGAAACAGAGAGTGAAACTAAGTGGCTCTAACAGTCCTTTCTGCCAAAGAAAGCTGAAATACAAAATAACAGATTGTAGCAGCATGGCTGGCTAGCAAACCCCTCCCACTTCACTAGGAAAGCAAGTATCACAAAGTGCAACTGTTTCTGCTCATTCTCAAACAAAGCTAGTAGATGGAGAAAGGCCCCAGTTTGCAAAGCAGAATGGAGAATTTTCAACACATAATTCAGAACCAGTTCTACCTTCCTTTCTTTAAGATACCTTGTGAGATATCCTCAAAAGCAGATAACTGTCAAAAACTCTCTGAAAGTCTGCTTAAAATACCAGAGTCCAGCGTGCACTGCCATCAGCTGCCTTAACAGAGGTTGGAAAGGCTGAGTTACACTACAAGCATCCTTCAGCCTTGTTTTTAAATGCTGTGTAATGGTGAACAGATTATAATAAAGGCAAGTGCTAGAGTCTTCCTCTAACATGAAACTAGATGGCTTCTCACCTGAGTTAGCAAGGGTAAGCAGTGGTGGGGACTTTGCCATTTACAAGCTACTGGAAGAAAAAGCAGGAAGAGCTCATGCTACACGTGGGCACCTCTGCATTTCAGTGTGAGTCAGTCACGCATCACTAACGGCAAAGCCAGCCAGCTGCCTTGCAGCACTCCTGAGCAGCTGCCCTGCTCTACAGCTGTAGCCTCAGCTTACTTTTTTCCTAGAAAACTTTCAGTGCCAGGCAAGCTCAGCCACTCCCAAGCAGTCAGCCAGGCTCCCCGGTTTCTCAGGACGCCCGGGAGGTCACCACACCTGCCCCGACTCTGCCCGCGCAGAAGAGCTGCTCTTAGAGCCGCCAGAGGGAGCAGCCGGTTGCAGCACAGGCACGGCTTTGCGGGGTGGGTGGGGAAGGCACCAATCCCCTGGCCTGGGGAGACGGAGAGCTGTTGATTTAAGACTAGTACGTTATGCAAGTAATAGAGTACATATTAAGCACTTAAATTTTGTACATTCAAATACATTCAAAAGCTTCTAGCTTGAAGCAAAATTTTAGTTTGCAAAGATGCACCAGTTCCTGCAGAGCACAAACTCCCCCCACCTGCTCAGAACGGCACTGTGAAGCAAACACCCAGTGAGCACAGACAGTTGACTGACATGGGGGGTAGTCATATTCCTCACCCTGTGCTTTGTAACAGTCAGCTGACTCTTTTCTGGCCATAAAGTTTCTCCCTCTCCAAGACTGGTTCTTATGTCCCTAAGCCATATTTTTATTCTGACCTCTACTTTTGTTCTAAAAAGCTCTCATTCTGCCAAAGCCAAACAGAGCAAGACTTCTGTGCAAGGATGGCTACTGCTGCTTCTGCTTCTCCTCCCCTCCTATCCATCCACAGTATGGTGACTATTATCTACCAGCTTGCTTTAGCAAGCCATGAGGGAATCCTGTGCTTTATAACATGCCATCCTTCTTCCAGCCTTACAATACACCCGAAAACCTGGGAAATTTAGGGATTCATGATTGAAAACAGTCAGGTTTAAGCTATTTTGAGTGAGCAGGAATAGCTGTGAAGCTTGCTGGACGGAAGACAAAAAAGGACATATGTTGTCATTACCATTTCCCATTGCTCTTGTTCTAACCACCAAAGTTTGCTAAAGCCATCACTGTTCTAAAAACAGAGGCCTGGTTTTAAAATATATTGTCTACATTTTGAGCAGTACTGCTAAAGGAGACAACTTAGTTGCTGGATGTATTCAGGACTAAATGACATAAGGTTAAATAGGCTAAACATCTTGCCTGGTATACCCCTACATATACAAGCCTGGGGAAATCCCTTTCAAAACATTTAAAACCATTCCCCAAAAGCCAGAGACTGCAACAGGAACTGTCTTACCATTTTTAGCATGTAATGTGCCATTGCATGTAGATGTCGTGTTGAAGATCCACTCACAATTATAAAATAATTACAGTAATTTATTTCTGGAGGTAGCTGGATCACACAGATGTCTTTAGCGTTTTCTTGCCTCAGCAGAGCTACAACAAAGTCAATGCTGAACTTTGAAAGAACAGTAGTACCTGGAAGAGACAGGAAAAAAAAAATACAATGGTGATTTATCTTTTTAATTGCAAAAAATCAACCACTTCAGGAGACATAAAATGGCAATGAACCAAATTATAGCCTAAGCGACCTCTTGCTGTGGAGTTTGCTTTGATCCTGACAATGCAACATGAACTGCAAATTTAAAAAAAAAAAATAATTTTAAAAACCAAAGTTTAGAACTAAGCACTCTTTTGGTTAATAACACTATCACTAGATACAGTAGTTAGCAAACATCCAGGTTTCTTTTAGGTAACCTATTTCTTGTGGTTAGCACCTAAGAGTTAACACTCTAATCAGATATTTGTCGATTAAGATGAATGAAGGCCAAATCCTTCAAAAGACATGATTAAAACAACAGACAAACTTAAAAATATTTCAGAATAATGCTTCTCAACTGGTCTGTGATAATACCTGGTGATCAAATTAGTCTGAAATCTTAAGTCGATGAAATCAATATATTGAGAATGGAGCTGATGTGATGTAGTATGAAGGTACTTTTTTAGCTTCACACTGAGTAAAGCCACTACTTTTTCTTTTCCCTGGCCTGTTCTGCCACAGAAGATTAACATCTTATAGGCAAAACTTGAGTCCTTCAACCGCTTAAGCAAGTCAGCTTAGAAACTAGTAAATTAGCACAACTACCTTCTGTTCGCACCATGAAATCAGTTTATTTCTAATTTGTGCTAATTTGGTAGATGGATCTTGTATGCATACTTAAGGCATAATTTGAATCTGTCAGCAATGCGTGCTGCCTCTGTAAAGTGAGCCTCAGTGCAGAGCGAGCAGCAGCACAAAGCCAAGCTTTATATTTGCCAGCAGAAAGAAAAAGCCAAACAAAAGAACAATAGCTACAGATAATTATATGCATGAATGAGGATATGAAATTGGATCAGATCTCTGTAAATGAAAGCCTCTGAGCTTAGGGACTCATGCACTCTTTCAACTTTTGCAGTGGCCACACACGCAGAAAATTAGTAACAACCACAGCTCCTCCAGACCCAGCGGTTAAAAAAGCTAAATATTTGCCTGGTAGCTATATGCGAAGTCTCTAGTGCGTACTTAGAAAAGAAATGGTCTGAACAACCCCGGGCGCGCTCTGCCACACTGAGCCTCACGGTCAGATCGAGGCTAGAGATGTGAACAGCTACAATGAAACAGCTTACACTCGCAACAAGCCACAGTATCGCGAAAACTATTATTCGCACTAGGAAGTTTCCTTGCAAATTCCCTTCCTGTGTCCTCGCAGAGCTTCCTGGTTCCGACCCGTACCTCCGCCTGCACCAGCCACCGAGTGCTGCAGCTGCAGGCCCTCGGGGGCAGCGAAGGTGGCGCACATGCCCCGGGCCCCGCGGTGCTCGCCGAGGTAAGGGCGGTTCCACCGGTCTGGGCACCCCCAGGACCATCCGGCGGCTGCGGGATAAGATCCCGCGCGGTCACCTTCTGCACCGGGCGGGGCGGGG